ATAAACTTACGTTTCTTACATGGAGAAAACTTCCATTTTACTTTTCTATCTGATTGGTAGATAATGATAAAAGTGATGACAAATTTCCTTAAATATGAGAAGTTATTGGTTATAAAACACTTAAAAGCTTCTAATGCTTCACAGTATTTTTTTTACCAAGGACTACTATCTCATGATTCATCAAAATTCCAGACAAGGAATCTGAATTTATTTGTCCTCTGGAAGTTTCCTTACAAACCAAAATATTTTTCTAATTACATTTTTCATTTTAGATCTAATCCACATGTTCAACACCGACCATGATCTGGACGCAAAGAATCTAGACAAAAATTTATTCTACACGCAAAATGAACAAATCAGTGATTCCCCTGGTGGCCAAAAGGGTGATCAAAAATCCAAAAAAAAATTGTCGAAGAAGAACGAACACGATGAATTTGTTAACAGTTTGGACGGCCAAGCTAAATATTGGATAGGAAAAGATTACTGCAATTTTATTATTAAGGATTTCGAAAACTTGGATCTTCCATACGTCGGTAATAAATGATACAAATAATAAATATTATATACAAAAACTTCTGTATATAAATGTAAACGTATGAATTTTCTTCCCAAGATTTGGTTGATCGATGCACCACTCCCAGAATGCCCTGGCATGATATAGCCGTGTCAATTTGTGGTTCAGCAGCCAGGGATGCAGCAAGGCATTTTATCCAACGTTGGAACGTCTGCAAATTTGAGAAACAACGAGAGAATCCTTCGTATCCTTATTTACTTCCGAAAAGTTATCGCGACTGGGCTTGGAGTCAGGATCTTGAGGACGAATTTGAGAAGATTGTGGGTGAGGGAGCTTATAAAGTTACTTGCCAGGTGAGGATAATGATAATGAACTTTCTACTTCTTTTAACACACACAATCTTTAACATCCCCTATTCGAATATTGAAAATAATTGGAATTATAATTTTAATTCTAGCAAAGTTCTTAAGCTTGCTTCTATACTTGAAATAAATAATATTAACTTTGCAATTTAGTTTATATAATTCCAATAAATATTAGTCAATGACCTTCATTTTAAATTTGATTGATTAATTAAGTTTTGTTTATTTACTTTTTGGTAAACATATATAAGTTACAGTATTTATAATAATCTATTTGAAAACATTTAATATTCTTTGAATATTTTATTACGTTACATGAAGTCCAGCAATTTGCCTTAAGGCACGATGCCATAGATTACTAGTTTTCTTTAGACTACAATTATTTTACTTTTTCTTCTTTCAGGTTTTAAGGAGTGCAAGTTGCTGGAGCTGTGGTTTCCTCGAGCACGACCAGGTCGAGCAGAGCATTCATGAGGCTTATGTTCAAACAATATCGAGAGCTCAGCATTATATTTATATTGAGAATCAATTTTTTATCACTCTTGCTATGGGTAATGATTCGAGGGTTAAGAACCAAATTGGAGAAGCTTTGTACAAAAGAATTATGAGAGCCCACAGGTAAATATAGAAAATAATTGTAACAGAAATGGTTGGAAAAAAGTTTATTATGAACTTTTATATAATTTTTGCCAAAGTCGAATTTGTCATGTGAGATTAAATATTTTTTGTCTAGGCAATTATATTAAATTTAATAATTATATATACTTTTATATTTTTTTTCTATCGTTTTAGAGAAAATGCTGTATTTAGAGTTTATGTTGTTATGCCATTGTTGCCTGCCTTCGAGGGTGAAATTGGAGCACCTTCTGGAGCATCACTTCATGCCATCACTCATTATAATTATGCTTCCATATCCAGGTAAGTGACAAAATTTTATCTAATTAATTAACAATATAAACGGATTCATTAAAAACTAGTCAGCATGATCTCAAACTGATGTCTTTCAAACAGTTTTTTAATTTTCAATCTTGAGAAAAACATAGTCAAGTAAACATAATTTTAGCATATTGGATATTGCAGTAAAAATATAAACTTATCCTTCAGAAACTTATCCTTTATTATCTTTGTCTTTTTCAAGAGGTAAGGATTCGCTCATACAACGACTAAAAGATTCAGGAATTGAACACCCAGAAGATTATGTATCGTTTCATGGATTGAGAACTCATGGAGCATTACCTATAGATGGTGCACCAGTAACAGAACTTGTCTACGTACATTCTAAATTACTGATTGCTGATGATAAAACTGTTATTTGTGGATCGGCCAACATCAATGATAGGTCTATGTTGGGGATAAGGGATTCTGAGATGGCTGTTATAATACAGGTAGATATGAATATATATATATATATATATATATATATATATATATATATATTGGGGTGGTCCTTAATATGAATGTTTTCAAATTTCTCTGCTTCCAGGGGCTCAAATGCTTTCAAATTGATAAAAGAAAATTCTCTGAAATATTAGCTCTTAATATTAACTCTAACATAGTCTGCACTCCAACCAAAGTTTCTTGGTTCTTTTTCTTAAGTAAATACTTACATTATTAAATATATCAAATTTTTATTGTAAATTTTTTATTCATGATCAAAATAAGCAAATTCAATGTTATTCTCAAAATTTTGGTTCTCTTGTCGCTAAGTTATAAAACAAATGGAATTTTACCCATGTTATTTTCATAAGAAACTTTGATTGGAGTGCGGACTATCTCAAAGTTAATATTAAGAGTTAAAATTTACAGAGCATTTGAGCATTTGAACCCTTGGGAGCAAGGAAATTCAAAAAATCTATATTAAAGACCACCCTAATATATATATATATATATATATATATATATATATTATATAACAGAAATTGAAAATTGCACTTGACGTACTCAAAAATTTACCTCAAATTTTTCAAAGTATAACTCTGATTATAGATATAATATTTTTAGGAAGGATTTCTCAAATATTCTTCTTAAATTTTTCAGGATGAAGCCTTTGAAGAAGGTACAATGAATGGAGAAGTATTTCCTTGTGGAGTCTATGCAGGATCGTTGAGAAAACATTTGTTCAAAGAGCACCTAGGTAATATATATTCAAACACTTAAATAAAATCATGATATTATAGAAAGTATTTAGTACTTTTACCCTTCTTCCATTTTTAACTAAACTATCACAGAATTCTAGATTGTGCAGTTATCATAAGATTATTTCTTGCTTCTTTATATGTAAAATATGCCTGATTGCACGGCAAATAGATAGACATTTTCATAATTTTCAATACCAATAACAAGCATAAGAAAGCGTTACCATAACAACGCTATTTTATGAGTTCTGTTACATCAGAATTGCTCCATGATTCGAATATGTTCCTTTAAGAAATTAAAAAATATCATCTCATGTATCTTTCTCCTCCCAGGTCTTTTGGATTCCGATCAGGATCACCTCAGGTACGACATCACAGATGCAACCCATGATGCCTTTTGGCACGACGTCTGGCGTCGAGTCTCCAGAGACAATACGGAAACACACGAAGCAGTATTTCGTTGTCTTCCAACTGACCAAGTCAAAGACTTCAAGGAATTGGCCCGATATCAGAGAGTCGAAGTCGGTCAGGCTCTGGCCAAATTGGAACCTGCTAGGGCTGCTCATGTTTGCTATACTCATTTACAGGCAAGAAATAATAAAATAAAATTTTCATAATTTGCAATTGGATTTAGGACATTTTTTTACCTTTATTCAAATAACTTTTAATTTTTATCTTGGACATTATAATTTGTTTGCGTTTGTGAAAACTAGATAAAATTTACTAAAATCTGATAAGAACTATTATACACACTTGGATATTGAAATTTTGTATAATTAGTAGTAGAATGAGAACTTTAGTATTTTGATAACTTGCATTATATGGATTTAGGACATTTTTGTACATTTCTTCAAATAACTTTTAATTTTTATCTTGGACATTTAAATTTGTCCACATTAGTAAAAACTACATAAAAATTACTAAAATCTAGTACAAACTGTTACACACACACTTGGATATTGAAATAGCTTTCCTATTCATTTCAATTGAAGATGTCTAATTTAATTTAAAAGAGCTTATGTCCAAGGAGAGTTTTAGTCATATTATTTAGTCCAACTAATTTTTGTTGATTTTTATTACCTCGGCTTACTATTTATTTTTGTTTTCAGGGCAACTTGGTGGACTTTCCCTTAAACTTTCTTGCCAATGAAGTGTTGACGCCTTCCGGTTATTCCAAAGAAGGAATGCTGCCGACATCCATCTGGACTTAAAATTTAGGATAGTCTTCATGAAATTTAATTTATTTAAAGGATAAGTAATGATGGAAATATTTCAATATTGGCACAATAGCGGTAAGTATTACTTTTTAGAGATAAAATTATTTGATAAGCTTCAGATTTTTTACTTAAACATCAAGAATGTAATCTAAATGATATATTAACTGACAAAAAGAAGTTACTATATATAGTATAGCAATTTCAATTACTACTTTTACAATTAAATTAATCCCGTGCCTATAATTTTAAGATAATTATACAATTAGCTTTATGAATAAAAAGTGCTTTTATACATTTGTAAAAAAAATGAAAATAAGGATACTCACAATTTACTGTAAATAGTAATTATTAAAACTATTATTTTAACACTGCCATTTTTTTTAAATTGTGCATAGTAAATTATATTGGACCATAAATATAGTTTGTTTTTAAGTATATGTTAGGTAATTGTTATTTTATACTATTATATGAATAAATTATTTTAAACATTAATAACCAAATAATATATATGTATTTTCTTGTTAATATACATATTTCAATCTGTTCTTAATAATTTTATTAATAAATAAATATATGAATACTTTTTAAAACTTTTACTACTTTAGAAATGTTAAAAATACTAAAAACAATTATCAAGACTAGAAAATGTCGAGACTGCAGTTAATGCTAATGTCTGGTATCTTCTTTTTGAATAAAACTGATAAAAAATGGATTCAAAATACCAAGATATAGTTAATTCTAGTAAATATAAGATATTCACATACTTTTGTTCTAAAAAATACTTCAATATCTAATATTAAATCAAATGGTGTACATAGCCAAGCAAACTCTACTAAATCTAAAAAAGCTTAATTATATCATCCAGCCAGCAGCTTGTGGGGCTTGCTAAAGTGAAGACAAGTACACATGATTCGAGATCTTGAAAAGAAAGTAACGACTATATAATTTATCACCAGCTTGGAAACGTGCAGGTCAGACTGGCCGGGAATCAAATGGTACTTATTATCGGTTGTTTACTTCAAAATAGTTGGCTGAAGATCCGATGTATTAAATTCTCAGAGCTAGCATAACTACCACCTTGTTACAATAACTCGCTATGAAGATTGCCTGCAAAAATTGATAACTGGCTTAAGAAGCAGCATAAACAGTTGCCAATATATAATGCTAATAATGAATTAGACGAAGACCTGGCTAAGAATTAGACATCAGTTTTGTGAGGAGTCTTGTAAAACTATTATGCTGTTTGTCTCCTCAATACAGTTGACACAATAGAGCTCGTGCTGTGCACTAACTTGAAACTATTGCCAAGAATTTGTTTAGCTGAAGTAGAAATTAACGTTAACATGTAGTATAATAATATTTTATCATGTATTAATTTTTTTTTTTTACTTACTTTATGCAGCAAACCTCGAATGAAAAAGAAATTGACGAAATTTGCGATCTTATTAATTAAAATTATTATTATTGTATTGTCTAGGTTATAAACTGTCAGAATGAATTGTATGATACTTCATGTCGCGATTTGAAATGCAGAATGGCGGCAAATTCAAGATGTAACTAGTGGTGTATGGCATCGTGCCTTAAGGCAAATTGCTGGAACTTCTCGTGCCGTAACGAAATGTTCGTGGGATATTAAATGTTTTCAAATAGATTATTATAAATTCTGTAATATCGGCTAATATTTATAAGAATTATGTAAACTGAATTACAAAAACTGAATCACAAAAATTTTGAAAAAAAAAATGAAATGAATTTTTTTCCCCAAAATTCTTATTTTTTGTATATTTAGCTCTGTATCTTCGAAATGGTTGAACCTGCCTTTGCCAAAATCTAATCACCACTTCTCTTAATCATTACAAATTGGATGGTTTTAGATCATTAAAATCGGATGCTCCATTCTCTCGAAAACTTGATTTCTATTTTCTGCATTCTTTGCTCTTTATCGCCGAAACGGCTAGACCTGCGTTTGCCAAAAACTAATCAGCACGTCTTCTTATCAGTAGGAATCGAATGTTTTTTGAATTATTCAAATCGGTTGATTCGTGTTCGCGAAATCGTCGACAAAAATTTGTATCCGCACACACACACACGTCACACGTATATCACACACATACACCCATTTTTTGTAAGGTATGCCAAAATGTTCAGAAACCGCTGAAACGTAAAGATATATAAGAATTTCATTTTCGATTTTTTGCGATTACTATAACTTACCCTACGGGAAGTTAAAAAGGGTTTATGGTAGAAAAGTGAAAATATAGGATTGATTGTGTTTTATTGACAAATTTGGAACCCACACAAAATTTTATTCATCTTGATAGGAAAAACTGTTCCGAAAAACGTTTTGATAATTCGATTCTTGTCAATATTTTATAAATTATATTATATTTTATTTCATGTACGACACCCACAATGATCAGATAATTGTAGTTTTTATTAATTAAATCAATATGGCGTGTACAGATTTTGTAAATTATAATTTGAAGTTATTAGACCGAGTCAATTTCGTATGCAATTTATAAATAATGCATTATGAAATGAATTTATAATGTTTATTTAACGTTTTTATTACATATATTTATTTGATTGATGGATACTGGATTTTCCCTTTATCTATATATATATATATATAGATATATATATATATATATATATATATATATATATATACAGGGCCGGTCCTCAGCGCCCGCATGCAATTTTTTTTCCTGCGCCTCCCCTCCTTGTTATTTTAACTGTTTTAACAGTATATCATTAAAATTGTAAGAAGATTTACGTTACTTTTTTAAATACTCTTTAATAACTATGGATTTAGTACACAATATATATATATATATATATATATATATATATATATATAATATAAAAGCACATTGATTTTAGATTTATTTAGAATATCGTGGCGATTCGCGGGTTCTTCATAATCACTACCAAACTACTTCTAAATTCTTATTTTTAATCCAAACTTTTTAGGACATCAAAACATTTCAGTATGTTTATTATTGCTTGAAATAATATTCTTATATTTTCATTTGATTCTAACGCATGTGTTATTAATATTTGGGTTTTGAAAAATTTTACTTTTATTTTGGAGATTTTATGCGATTTATTCTATTAAACAAATCATGGAAAGCAAAAAAATTCTAGCCTGTCATTGATAAACATAACACGTTATGTTGAATAATTTTATTTTGATCTTTCATTGTTTAAAATATCCAAAATTGCATATTAAATATTACTAAAAAAATAGTGAAAAATGCAAACAAATTATATATGTTTCTTGAATTATATTAAAAAAAAATATATATTGTAAATTTCATTTCCGAATCTCATTTTGGCGCCCCTAAGGCGTGCGCCCGAATTTTTTGCATATATATATATATATATATATATATATGCAATATATATATATATATATATATATATATATATGTGTGTGTAAACATAAATATAAATATCCTGATGTTTTTTGTTTATAAAGAATGGTCATAATAAGTAATTAAAGTGTGATTAAAGGAAGGAATTTGTTATTTGTTGCTCAGAAAACATGGTTTTAAATTGTTTTAGTGATTGTTGGTGAACTTGTAATATGTTGCGGTTCATTATTATCAAAATTGGGAAAGTGATAGGGAGAAAAATGTAGGCTGTTGATCACTAGTACGTTTGGACAAACTATTTGAGTATAAATATATATATATATATATATATATATATATATATATATATATATATATAGCGGACTGTGTACCGTTAACAATGTCTTCGCGTTTGGACTTCACTCATTCAACTTACAATTAGCATTAAAGGCAATTTCTACATTAAAAGGGTTTTCTAGAAAGAACATATAGAAGTTTTAAGAAATCAATTTTTTGTCTGTCTTTTTCGATACAATACCCACGATTTTTCGACTTCTACTGCACCAATTTATTTGAATTTTTTACCGAGATTTTGTGGACATCTCTTCATTGATGAATGAACATTGATCACCTTCAAATTGTGATTTTTCAAATATTAGAGAAAATCAAGAAAAGTTGTATTTTTCTTGTCTGACAGTGGGTATTTTGTGAGTTTTTTTAAAACTTGTTCGTTGTTTATACAAATGCGACATTATTCTAGATTAACAATATTTTTTATCGGATTATTTGGAAGGTTATGATCAGGGGTATGGTCACGTGCTCATTTTTTGAGACCCCACGTTTATCACCTTTTAGGAATAAAACAGTCACACAAAACGTTAATTAATAACTTGCAAAAAAATTAAAAATAAAAATATTTTTTGTCTTTTTTACGACTTGATACCTCTAGATCAGAATAACCCTTTAGATCGATTATTTAGGCATATTAGTTCAAGTAACTTACCTTAAGACAATGTGCTACTTATATCTAGTTTGATTTGAAATTAAGATTTAGATATTTAGATAACATTTTCAACTGTTTATTTTGAAAATCAAATTTTCGCTCATAATTAAATCTTATCAATGCGATTTCCAATTGAATTTTCTCAAACACATTTATAATATCTGTAATTATATTGATTATAGTGCTTGTATCACTTGTGCTTGTATGTCCTAAAACTATAGCTTATGGTTCCAAAATCGATTTAAATAATTCAGCCATTTTTTGTAGGACTCTTTGGTGCATGAACCCTATCGCCATTTTAATTTTCATAATTCAACATCGACAATTTTTTTTTAAAAAAACCTAATAAATTATTTAAAATCAATTTCAGTCTTTGATTTTTCAAAATCGATTCAGTATTGCGGGCTAAAACGTGGATGAAATTTTTTTCACTTTTCTGCTATTTGCAAAGAAAAGGCCGATCGTAGCGCAAACGATAGTCCTTATCGAGATACCTCGAATGGCTTTTAAATTTTTGAAATCAATCCAGCCGTTTTTGAGAAAACGTCGATTTAAAGCAGAAAATCTGTTCCAAAACACGCACATACTTTTTCCAAATTTGGTCTCATTCGATTCAGAATGGCTCGAAACGTCGAGAAAACATAAAATTAGCGAATCGGATTTTTTTGATGAAAACATAAACTTCTCCTTCGGCAAGTTAAAAACATTTTTTATAAGTTTCGGGCCGTTGCTTGACCATCTGGGCGCCGAAGAACAGGTTCTATAGGAAATCTACACATAATTAAAGATTCCTCCAAGTACACATACGTAAATATATATATATATATTAATATATATATATTAATATATATATATTAATATATATATATATATATATATTAATATATATATATATATATATACACAGATATGTATATTATGTTTACGTATTTTATCTATTTACAGGTAAATCGGATAATTTAGTAGAAATAATAGCAGAGTCATCGAAATCGCCGCGGTCACTTCTATGCGGACCGGCGACGTGTAAGCAACACGTATGTGAAATTTATTGAAAATTTAACAATAATCCAAACAAATAATCAATAATATAAATAAATATAATAATATAACAATAAATAATATTATAAACAAATTTACCAACAATTAGTGCATCGTGTTATAAATTATTAGAGCATTAACATAACAGTAATAAATATTTTACCAAATCTTTTTTGGGTTATTGCCATCGATGACTTTCAAAATTTGTTCTTTGAGGTTATAAATATTGATTTGTTGTTAAAACTTTATAAACAATTTTATTTGTTTTTCTAGTATTTTTTGTAATTTTGTGTTTATTGTTACAGTGTCTGTCTGGTAATCAAGTTTTTGATGAAATAGTGTTTTGAAATTTCTTAAAATCAGGTGAGTGATTATTATTAATTATATTAAGTATAATTGTTATATATATATATATATATATATATATAATTACATATATATCTTATATATAAAATTTCTCTGTACGGGTGTATGATTTGATACTTCTTCTAAACGGTTATTCGGATTTTGATAAATATTTTTAGAGTTTGTCAAAGGAAATTTTTAAGATTCAATGAACGATAAAACTACAGTAATATTGTAAAATTAAATGGCAAAAATTACAAAAGCCACTTATCATTGGTCGACATTGAAAACATTTAATCAGTTATCTGCTAGAAATGTCAATTCACTTGAAATTTGAATTTAGCTCAAATTATGAGCCTAGATAATATTACAATATAATATACAAGAAAAATGTAATGTCTACATTATTATTGCCGAAAAGCAGCTGAGATGTGCCAGAAATTAAAATAATATAAGATACAGTCAATAGTATATATTTGGCAGATGAAATTATATAATTCAGTTTAAAAAATAACGCAATTCAGTGAAAAATAACTATAATAATTTAAAAAATAAATATTTAAGAAAAATGTGGCTATTCTATTCTACACTTAGAACAATCGGTTATAAATATAATATTCATATGAAAAATAATACATTTATATCAAAGAATGGTTTATTTAAAATTTTCTTTATGGAGATCATTAAAAAAATATTTTTTTATTTTTTTATGGCATTAGTTATTGAATACCATTTTTATTGAATGATATTTTATACTGTTAACTATATTTTTTATATCTAGTAATTTTGATAATGATTTTTCTTCTATTACTAATACTTACTATTAATTAGTTTATATACGAATTATTATACATATATACAAATACTTCTTCAGCATAATGCTAGCATAGTTTAGTTAATAATAAAAATAACTTTACATAAGAAAAGCACATAACAAAAACATACTAAAATGTAACAGATAAAATAACAATTATGAATTATAAACAGAGATAAAAAATGTAAATTAACGTAAATAAACAACAAAAATAAAAATTATACATTATAATAAAAGAGAACAAAAATAAAGTTATTGCTAAATTTAAAATATAAATAATCAAAAAATTAAAAACAAATGTTTAATATTATAAACAAAGTTAAAATAAAAATATTATTTTGTAAATATATGTATATATGTGTATAGATGAAAAAAAAAAAAAGTTTAGTAATTAGACCCATGAACAGCCTGATGTCAAGCAGTGGTGACATCAGTTTTCACTTGAAGGCAATGTTTTCAAATGAAAATAGCTTTTTTCTGACATCAATAAAAAAGAACATCAGTATTGTAAATAACAGAAATTGTAATAATGAAACATCACATGGAAATAAGGCATGGGGATAACAGAACAAATGTGCTTTACCCTGTTTTAGTGTTTTCCGCACTCAACAGAGGGTCTTACTAAAGAACTGATTCCCTTATTATAACAAACGTACTGCAAACATTTAATATTTTTTATTATATATTTTTGTGAAAATATATTTGTGATTTAGTTGAAAATATTTTTTAGACAACTAGGTTTAATTTTACTATCATTTTATTTATTATACGTGGACTATACGCTTTACTTTTTTCATAATATTAAATTGATTGAAAAATGTAGATATTTTTTGACTTTTTTAATGATTTTTTTCTTCAATTTTTTTTTTCCAAAATTAAAAAAAAGAATCCGAAGCGTGGACACTTTGCTCTTTTAATATTGATTTTTTTTTCATTTTTTTTATATTATATTTTCAAATAAATCTTATCTAGAATTAAACCTAGGGGTAAATTTACGTGCTGAAATTAGTGGCGCCTCTATCGAGCGGGGAAACAATTAAAATCGAAGTAGTTTTATCTATTACCTACATGACTTGTTAAAGTTCTAATTGCTGTTCAAATATAAATATATAACAACAATTGTCTATTATATTTGTTGTTGTTTTGAAGAACGAAAAACCTATTTTTCTCAGTTGCAAATGCGTTTGCTTCGTGTTTTGTTCATAAAGGCTCAAAAAACTTGAAATTTCTTGATTAATTAAAATTTATTCGTAAGAAGTTCAAGGATTTTACAGTACACGGCCTCTTAGAATAGAACAATGGAAAAATGCATATGGAACGTTTGCTGGTCAGAATGAGAATTTTATTAATTAATAATCGATTAATTTAAATAATAGCAAAATAGGCATGTTATTTCATTAATATTTATTGATACTTGAATATTTATTTAGATTGTTGATATATGATATGTTTTGAACAAACTTATGATATTTTTAATTGTATTAATACAAGCACTTAAATGATGTCCTAAAAGCGCAGACCATTACTCCAAACATTAATAAATATGTATAATACAACCAGTTTTCGTAGGACAATATTTTAGTATGTTCGTTTATAACAAATAATTTAAAATATTTAAACTGTCAACGTTTTCTAGCAATTTATTTCTAATAATGTAAATGAGATTTAATGTATGTTTCCTTCATATGTTTATGTCTTGAACTACTAAATGTGGAAATTTTAATTGAATTTCATAAACATATGCATGTTGTTAGAAAGTGTCTACAATTAGAAAATACCTATAAAGTTTAATATTCGTACAATGAACATCATAATTTCATTACGAGTATTTTCATTTTATAATTTTTATTCTCATATTCGTTTATACATATTTTAATATTGTCCTTTAATTTTAGGTAAATCGATTCCAACAATAACAAATGTTTATATATTTGTAAACAATTTTTTTTTTGTTTTTTAGGCAGGATGGTGTGTGTCTGTCTCATAACAGGACTTTGTATCCTGTATGCCTTATGGGACCTCAACTACTTCCTCAGGTTCATCTTCACTCTTGGATTAGGAAGAATTTTCAGCAAGAAAAGCGGGATCAGAGATAAGACTACTATTTATGGTAAGATATAGATAAATAATGTAATTTACCTTGGGGTAGGTTTGTGAGCTGAGTTAAACTCGAATTCGAATCAGGGAAGAATAGTGATATCACTACTGCATGAACTCATAACCCTGTCTAAAACTAAAAACTTGTTCTTTGCCGTTCTTGGTCGTTTTTTTTTGTTTGCAATTATCTCCAAAAATATACATTTTAACGAAAATCATGTAATGAACAGAATTATATCAATTATAATCTAAATAAATCGGTGTTTTATAAAGTGTCCTAGGAACAATATTAAGCTAGATATGAAAATGCGATTTTTATTTCGTTCAATATTTAATTGTTGGGTTGTATAGTGATCAAAATAAGCTATAAAATGTGTACTGTTAAGGGTCTGTTTTTTTTTTCATTTAAATCAAATAGTTTTATGAGTGCCATTTCCAACAAAATTAAAATTAATCGTTGTTCATCTTGAATTAACTTGGTCCAAAGAATTCCAAAATATCATGCAACTAAGTGATAATATATATCGAATTATTATTAAGAAAAATGTAATTTAGATATTATTACTAAAAACAATTATTTATTAATTATTTTGAGCGAAAAAATCATTTATTTATACATTTACACCTACAGGTATGACTAAAAATATTGGATAACCCTTGGCATTAATTGTAGTGTATATTTCTAAAATACTATTTTATTGAACATATTTCAATATTTGTTTGTTTGATGGTTTTACGTGGCTGATTTGAATTTTACAGTATAATTGAAGAGTTCAGTGTGGGTCCTGAGGCTCATCATTTATTTAGAGCAGTTCTACATTAAAAATCACCCATATGTATATACATACTTAAAAAATGTATTGTGAAAAACATAATAATTTTTAACTAATTGGTAAATATCAGTACAGGTTATTAAAAAAATTGGAACTTTTGAATTTTAGACATGGGTACAGGACAACGTCTGTCGGGTCATCTAGTATATATATAAAAAAATCAAAAAAAGATAGGAAGTAAAAAATAGATCAAAGCACACTATGAATAGTTTTGTAAATATATCCCTTACAAAAAAGTGGCTTACGTTTTCTTACGTTACGTACGCAAATCATACGTTTTCTGTTTTAGTATATAATTTCATAAAAACCCGTCAAGCCGTTTCGGCAAAAATTATAATTTTTGCACAAAATTTATTCTCTTAGGTCGTCATAACTTATATGATTTTTTCTTAAACAAGTTTAAGTATGCATTCAAGATGTAAATTATTATATTCTATGCAAAATATCATATAGTGATGGTGGAAGTCAGAGACATGCAACTCTTCCTTACCTCAACTGTGGAAAAATATGATAAATGGTCACTTGAATATAATTAAAATCCCAAGACTTTCACCATATGAAATTTCAAGTGGGTAAAAATTCAAACATATATAATAAATTATACTAGAAAATATTTATTAACTTCCCGAAGGGTAAGTTATTGTAATCGTCCAAAAATCGAAATTGAATTTTTTTACATTTCTTCACGTTTTGAAGGTTTCTGAACATTTTGGCATACCTCAGAAAAAATGGATGTGTGTGTGTATGTATGTCTGGATACAATTTTCCAGTCACGTTTTCGGGCGCACGGATCCATCGATTTGAATGGTTTAAAAAACATTCGATCCCTATTGATAGGAAAATGTTCTGATTAGTTTTTGGCATAGGCAGTTCCAGCCGTTACGGAGATACGGAGCAAAGAGTGCAGAAAATACAAATCGAGTTTTTGAGAGAACGGAGTATCGGATTTGAATCATCTAAAAAACACGCAATTAATAATGATTGGGAGAAGTGGTTATTAGTTTTTCGCAAAGGCAGGCCCAGCCATTTCGAAGATACAGATCTAAATGTGCAAAAAATGGCAGTTTTTGAGTGAACTAAGCGTTCGATTTGAATGATCTAAAAAACTTTCTGCTTGTATTAATAAAACAATTGCTTTTGAGGATAAAAAATTATTACATCTTTTTTTTATTTTTGTAATTTTGGATTAAAAATTCAAAAAATTACCCAGGCTAAGCACAGTCTAAGCGCCACTCTGGTACAAATATTTATCCAAGTGCGTTTAGACTGTTTACGTACGGATCGCTTTTCCAATTTTGCGAAAACTATCGAAATATGTGAAAATGCCGCCAAGCTAAGCACAGTATAAGTGAAAATGTCGCACAGAATTATTTGCAAATGAGTTTATACTGTGACTATACGGGAGCACTCTTTCAATTTTGTGTAAATTAGGCAACTATTTTTTTTTAAATTGAATTCGAAATGAAATGACGATTGTTAATGTTCTGGAAATAAATTGATTTATGATTTACATTTGATTTGCTCAGATACAACAAGATAGAACAAATAATGAAAGTTACAGTATTTGTAATATTTGAAAACGTTTAAAATTTCTCGAATATTTCATTACGGTACGGAAAGTTCCATCAATTTGCCTTAAGGCACGATGCCATACACCACTAGTTTTATATTTGTAACTATGACACACATACAGTGTCGAAACGTACATAATAAATAGATAAATTAATAATTCGGTTGACACCTAAATTGGAATAGGTATGAGATGAGTATGAGTGGGTGTGAGCAAAAATAGGATTTTTAAATATTTTTTTTTATTTTTGTATTTATTATTTTTAGGTCTATGTACCACCCACGATGTCGACATCTTCCTGCGCCATATGAACAACGCCCGGTACCTCCGAGAATTAGATTTCGCGAGGTTCCACTATTACGACAGATCGGGTATCTACGCCGCCATTCGCCAAAGGGGCGGCGGAGCCCTTCAGGGGGCCTCCAGCGTCAGATATAGGCGCACCATACCGATATTCACGATGTACAAAGTCGAAACACAGGTTAATAAAAAAATTGAAGAACAATAGCTTATTAACTATTAACTTCCCGAAGGAGTTTATGTTTTCATCAAAAAATCCGATTTGCTGATTTTATGTTTTCTCGACGTTTTAAGCCATTCTGAATCGAATGAGACCAAATTTGGAAAAAGTATGTGAACAGATTTTTTGCCGTAAATCGACGTTTTCTCGAAAACGGTTGGACCGATTTCAAAAATTTAAAAGCCATTTGATGTATCTCGATGAGGACTAGCGCGACGTTCAGCCAAGCCTTTGTATTTCTTTGTAAATAGCAGAAAAGTGAAAATTTTTTCGTCCTCCTTTTAGCCCGCAATTCTAAATAGATTTTGAAAAACCGTTCGAAAGATATTGGTTGGGAATCGGCCGGGTCGTTTTCTTGTGTTATGGTGTTAAAAAAAAATTTCGAGGATTTTTATGATTTTTTTATGTTAGGTACCATAGTCTTATAGATCATACTAAAATATTACGGCCCTACGACAATTAGTTTAATTTTAAAAATTCGTCAAAGTTTGCAAAAATTAGTGACGTTTTTGGGCGTTTATCAAAATTAGACATTTCATCGACATTTTCTTAAAAACGCCTAAACGGATTTCAAAAATTTAAAAGCCATTCGATGTATCTCGATAAGGACAGTTCCATGCGATCGGTCAAGCCGTTTCTAAGTAATTAAAATAAAAATAAAAAAAACAGTGCACGTTTTAGCCAAAAATTCTGACTAGATGCTATTTGAAAAACGTGCTGATTCAGAATTGCGGGCGCCAAATCGTTTCCTCGTTGATAGACATCATGGTCCTAAAGAACATATCAAAATTTGTAGTTTAATTTTAAAAATTGATCAAAGATGGAAAAAATTGAAGTCAAAATTTTTGTCAAAAGTCGCTTTTGTGATGAGATGAGTCAAATTTTTTTTGGAAAAGCCATTTTTTTTGGAATCAGCCGAAAATTAAATAGACAAAACTTCTCAAGTTGCGTAAAAAATGTTACGACTAATTTAAATAATATGAAAGGCTACATGAAGGGCCGCATTTAGATATTTGGCGCCCTGGCCCCCATCACTGAAATTTTACTTTAAATAGTTTTTGTCTCATTTTTTTCTAAAATTAACTATATGATTGCAAAAAAATTATTACGCTTAGGGGTAGGTGGGGATTTGGCAAAAAATCACGAAATATCACGTAGGGGGAGGGAGGCTATAGTAAGATATCACGTGTATTTATTTTTTACTGAATTTAAAGAAAAAAAAACATTTTCAAAAAAAAAAAAAATAAAAAAAATTACCTTTTTTTCCCGTAACTAAAAATACACGTGAGGTTTGATTGGGGAGGCGGGGGTAATTTTAAATATCACCACGTATCACCAAGGGGGAGGCGGGGTCCAAAAATCCTTAAAAAGTCGATTACGTGATTAATGGACACCCCCTTACATACTATAACAATGTAACAAAATATACATATTTGTTCTAGCAAAAAGAATTATAAATTTTGTACCAAGGACTTTTTCACAGGGACATTCAACGAACTTTTTAACTTCCCGTGGGATAAGTTATTTATAGCCAAAAATTTAAAATATAGTAATCGCAACAAAATCGAAAATAAAATTTCTTATATACGAATTTTCACGTTTTAAAGGTTTCTGAACATTTGTTCTTCACTTTCCAAATTTTACCGCCCTGGGCACTAGCCCCAACTGCCCCTACTGTAAGTCCAGCACTATGTACATGGTAAAAATGTTATCGTGTAGTTGAAAATTTCATCTTAATATCTAAATCTCAATTTCGGTTGATTAAAGCAATTATTACACATTTCGTGAAGTTCATGCAACTTGCCTCAAGGAAAAATGCCACTTTTATTTATCCACACAATTATTTATTATTGATCTTCTCCTTTAGCTCATCTACTGGGACGAGAAAGCCATCTACATCCGCCAGCGTTTCATAACCATCAGCGATGGTTTTGTACGAGCTGAAGCCTTGAGCAAACAGAACGTAGTCGGTGTAAGTCCTTTGCAATTGATGAAGGAGGTTCCTGGAGGTGCCGACTCTCCTCCAGAACCATCAGAAGATCTTAAACTTTGGCTGCAATCTATCGAAGCCAGCAGTGCTGCTTTGAGGAAAAAAGACTAAGAGGGAGTAGATAGATAGACTGATTTAAGATGATGAAATTTTATACTGTTTTGTTTTTAAGGGGCACAACTAGTGTAACCGCCTGAAAAAAAAGTGATTTTTGGGAATTTATATTATAAAAACTACTTTATCAATCATTTCAAAATTATAGGAATATATTTATACATGTTTCAAGAATACATAGTAAAATTTTTGAAGAAAAAAATTAAATATTTTTTAAGTTATCGTCGATCTCCAACGGCGCGACAAAAAAAGGCCCTTCACTGCTGCAGTGATTCCGGCCTTCTACGTGGATGAAATTTAAAAAAAAAATACTCGTTCAACTAGATAATATTGTCTGTAAAATGAACTACGATAAAGAAAAAAATAAAAAATTGACAAAATGACGGCGTTTTTTAAAAAAAAGTCGAATTTTACCCAAAATTTTGGTCGTTTTTGGACTGCCAAAATTCGATTTTTGATCCGATCAAAAAATCGATAGTTCATTTTACGGAGAACTATATATAGAACATGTAAAAAAAATGATAGTGATCGGATCATTTGTTTTTGAGTAATCGCTGCAGCAAATTCAGAAAATGCTGTTTCGAGAAAAACGCGTTTAAAGATAAAATGATTGTTATACTATAGTTATACACTCTTTAAATGGCTGTGACTCAAAAACTATTTAAGATATCGATTTAAATTTTTGGTATGTTATTTTTAAAGGTATAACCTATCGAAATATGGAAAAATTGAAAATTCGATTTTTTGAAAATTTCACACTAGTTGTGCCCCTTAAAGATCTGATGGCTTTGTAAAACAATTTTTTGATCTGATAACGTACTTGCCCATTATTGCAACATCACAAATTGACTAAAGCTTTGTTATGGTAAGTCAGAAAGGAACACATTTACCATCATAGTTTATTTATTATAACAAGGTTTTGGATCATTTGTTTTCTCGACAAATTATAACTTTTTATAATGCCATCAACCTATTGCAGAAAAACAGAAATAGTTTTTGTCTTCAAAGTTTTTCAATAAAATAAACCAGAAATTATAATTACCATTATTTGGTTATAGTTGAGCTGATATAATTTGATCTCAAAATTTATCTGATCGTTCATCTCTAAATATTCAGAAATTTGCTGCCTTCGGCAATCAAGAGCTTTAATAGATAAAAGAACAAATTAGCATAAATTACTATAACTTACCCTACGGGAAGTTAATAAAATAAACAATTATTTGTTGATCATGTGGTCAATTAAATTTATTGAAATTAAATCATAAAAAGTCAGAAAGGAACAATCTACCAACAATTTTATCAATTTGTGATTTAGTTTCAATAAGTTAACATATGGTTTACAAAATATTTAATTAATGAAGCCGATTATATGCTGTTAGTTTCAAAAGTTTCTTTTAATTTAGCTGATTTTTTACAGCAACTTTTTAAAAATTTAGCAATTTTTCTAAAACTATGTATATATATATATATATATATTGATATATCAAGCACAAATTTATTGGATCTAATTTATAAATTATCAGAAAGGAACCCTGTAACACCAGATTTAATTAAAATATAAATTAGATTTATTAGATTTGTCTTGATGAAATTTTTGGGGCAATTCCGCCGTAACAGAGTTTATAAAACAGCGTTGTCATGGCAACGCTTTCTTATGCTATATAACAGAATCTTCAATGATGCAGTTATCATAACATTCTCCTTTGCTTTGTTTATATATAAAATACGCCTAATCGCATAGCAAATAGCTATAGTCATAATTTTCACTACCAAAAACAAATTGTCATGACAACGCTATTTTATGAGCTCTGTTACAGCAGAATTGCCCCATTAATAACAAAATAAATTTAAAGGAAATCCATCAGCAAATGAAAAACAATCTTTACTTATCAGCTTGTCTGTCGTCTGATTAAACTGTAGACTGATTCATTGGTTTTCTGATGCATCTACAGTCTAATTTATCCATAGTCTGTACTATTAACAGTTGGATTCATCTACAGTCTATTTAGTATATAGTTTGATCCATCTGTAGTCTGGTCCATGTGGTCCATCTGCAACCTGATCTATTGGCATTTTAAATTATATGTAGTTTGGTTCATCTGCAATCTGGTCTATCTAATGTCTGATCCATCTGCTGTCTAGTCCTTCTGCAGTTTGTGTGATTCCTTTGAAGTCTAGTTCATCTGCAGTCGGATCCATTTGTTTTCCCATATATAATCAATCTGATCCACCTATAGTCTGATCCATACGTAGACTGACCCTTCTACATTTTGGTTTACCTTAGACTGCTCCATTTGTAGTATGATACATCAGCATAATGTTTAACAAGTCTTTTCCATCAAATTGATCAAAATCTATTTATTGAATCCAAAATAGTTCGTTGTCTATCAAAATAGTATCAATTATACTTATTCTAACTACAACGAAGCTTGTATAATCTATTGAAGAACTTTGAAGACATTTCTTTATTACATTAGATTTAGACTGTTATACCTATAATTATTTGGGAATTTGGTATATATAATTTAGGTCGAACAAAATATTCACAATTTTCATTGTTTTAATAATAATGACTTGCCAAGGAATGTTAAGTGAAATCATATGTTGCTATATGCAAAAATATGAGTCGATAGAAATAATAATTAATTTAATTTTAGGATAAGAAAACTCTTCTATCCTAACTACTATAATTCAATGAAATTCGCTAGAAATGAAATAATTTGATACATACCTAATGCAACTCAAATTATCCAACTTTATTTTATTTTTAATTATAATATATGTATATATATATATATATATATATATATATATATTTGCTGTTACACCATTTGGGACTGTGAGATTCTAAATTATTTATTATGTTATTAAAAATATTTGTTATTTTTAATATTTGTTAATGTATTTTTAAATATCGTAATTGGTACTCCTTATTGAGATTTGAACTAATGTTACTTATTGATATATTTATGGTGTTTTGTACTTAATTGTAACAAAATTGGTTATAAATATATGTGAACAGAAAAAAAGATGATAGTGAAATAATTATCTTAACATCCATACAATGCATTTGCATTCCAACAGACATTTACTCTCATTTTGTTCAGGAGACATCAAATCTGTGAACCTTTTATTTATGTGCCCACGTTTTAGTGCACAACGTTATAACAGAGTGCTTAGTACCAATTCTAACATTAAATTTTTTGTTATGTATTAACTAGTTGTAAGTGGTATTTTGCCTTTTGGAGAGTACGAACAAAATAAATTCAGAATAATAAATGATCTGTACTCTTTAGAAACAAGTTAACGGAAAAGGTAGTTTTTTCTTCAATATTCTGCATTCTAAGGTTTCTATTTTTGCCAAATGACCTAACGGCCAAATAAATTAAAAAAAAAAGTTTCTGTTATCTATGTCCTTAAGGTACGATATAGTTCGGTAAAAATCCGCAAAATGGCAAGACGCAGTCTGTTGTCAGTGTGTATTTAACGAAATTTTTGTTCAACTGTCAAATGCTTTGTGCAATTTTTGAACATTAATACGTTAAAAACTACTATTTTAGTGAAAATATAATTTTGTGCTACTTACATAATATTTATTTATGAAAATAAAAGGTCCGTCAGATAACTTTTTTTTTGAAAACGCTATATATAAACTACTGAATATTTTCTCAATCTAAATCTTTTCTATTTGAGAGTGCAATCCTTGTGGTTAATAATCGAAAATAATTTCATTGAAATGGCTGTCTAACTTTTAAATGGCTGTCAAAAAATTCTAAATTGCTACGAATAAAAAAAAGTTATATGGCAGACCCTTTATTGACCGATTCTCAGTCACCTCAGTTGTGAAATTTGCCTACCAGAGGGCAGTTTTATCTACAATATCGATATATCGATACAATTGGTTTGTTTATTAACCGAAATTCCTATCTTTGCGAGGTTTATGGTCTATGCTAGTTGTAATTATAGCAATTTTTCGACTGGCGCGGCCAGTTTGTTCTTGCATTTGGTAGTGATTACATCGGCGCGGTCGTCCCGGGCGCCAGAGCATCCGGGACGTCGTCGTCGCGTGTTGATGCCGAAGAAAACATGACAGTTTTGTGCTAGTGAAATTAACGCTTGTTTTTGGAACCTTCAGGTGAAAAGTGAGTATTGTATTGTTTTTGTTAGTTTTCATAGTTTACAAAGTAATATTATAATTTTAACAAAGTATAATTATAATTAATACGTAATATTATATAATTATATACGTGTGGCGTACCCAGTCACATTTTGCTGTGGTTATTATTAAAGTTCTCTGAATATATTTGATTCAATCTTTATTATGTTGATATCTTTATGAATGCTTCAGTTGATTACATAACTACGTGTATTGGCAACATTATCACGCAAATGTATGAATTTCCAAATTATTCCACATTTCAAATTAGATTTTGTATTACTGTCACTATTTTTAACTTCTCATAGGGTGGGGCCGATAAACTAAAATGAACATTTTTGCATTTCTTCGCGTTTTGAAGGTTTCTGAAAATTTTGTCATACCTCAGAAAAAATGGATGTGTCTGTGTGTGTGTTTTGTGTGTCGGCATTTTTTGTCCACGTTATCAAGCGCACGGATCAACCGATTTGAGTGGTTCAAAAAATATTCTATTCCGATTGATAGGGAGATGTATCGATTAGTTTTTGGCAAAGGCAGATCCAACCGTTTTGGAGATAGGGAGTAAAGAGCGCAGAAAATAGGAAGCGAGTTTTTGAGAGAACGGAGCATCCGATTTGAATTATCTAAAATACATTCAATTTGTAATGATTGGTAGAAGATGTGATTAGTTTTTGGCAAAGGCAGGTCCAGTCGTTTCGGAGATACAGAGCAAAATGTGTAAAAAATAGTAGTTTTTGAGAGAACTAAGCGTTCGATTTCACAGATTCCGATTTCGATTTCAACGATTCAAAGAACTTTCTGCTTGTGTTAACGAAACAAAAGTTTTTTGTTTTGTTTTTTTTTTAATAATTCAGATTTCAATTTTAATTTTGGTTAAAGTTCTAAAGCTCACTTATATACTTTTAGTGAACAATTTTAACTTTGTAATTCGGTTTATATATAATTCTTATAAATATTAGACGCAATTACAGTATTTATAATAATCTATT